GCTCAGGTGAGAAGCCAGGTAAGGGGAGAAGGGCACATAGGTGAGGGGTGCTCAGGTGAGAGGGCAGGTGAAGGGCGAGGGGCGCGCAGGTGAGAGGCGGGGCGAGGGGTGCTCAGGTGAGAAGCCAGGTAAGGGGAGAAGGGCACATGGGTGCGGGGCGCACAGGCGAGAGGCCAGGTGAGGGGCGAGGGGCGCTCAGGTGAGAAGCCAGGTGAGGGGTAGGGGCCGCCGGCCGTCCCCTCCCCACGACCCGGGCATCCAGCCCGAGGACCCGACGGCCAGGGCGCCGGCATGGAGCCGTCGGAGGGCTGGCCGCACCTCTCCGCTTTAGCAGGAGCGCGGCCACCGCGCTGTCCACCCCTCCGGAAAGGGCGCACACGACGTGCCGCGCCGCCAGCATCCCCAGCCCGGTCGACTTTCCAGATGACGCCGCCGCCACGTCCTCTCCGCGCCGGAAGTCCCGCCCCTCGGCCGCGCCTGCGCGCTCAGCCCGGCGGAAACGCGTCCTCGGCTCTCGGCGTTCCGGGGGCGCCGGAAGTCCCGCCCCTCGGCCGCGCCTGCGCGCTCAGCCCGGCGGAAACGCGTCCTCGGCTCTCGGCGTTCCGGGGGCTCTCGGCGTTCCGGGGGACCTTCGTGCTGCTGCACGTCCGCCCGGTTCCTGCCGCTGTCGGGGGTGCGGGGCCCTGGACCCTTAACTCCACGCGCGGACACTGCCCTCTCTCCCCTAACTCCTGCTGGGCCTGATGGAAGAGAAAGGATATAAACAAAGAAAGGGACCCGATGGGAGACCTCGACGGGGCACGGGGCACGAGTGGACACTGGGCGGAGACCCGGGGAGGACCCAGGCCTGGAGGACAGGCGAAAACTAGAGGACTCAGTTCGGGGTCCCTGCGACTTGATTCAACACTTGAATGTACCGTGCGCCTACAAATCACTGAATCACTGCTGTGGTTATTATGTGGTGTCAAGTTGGAACCGACCATAGCTGACCTTCAGGGTTTCAGATAGTAAATCACACGGGAGGAGATCACCATCCTTCCTCCGAGAGCAGCTGAGGGGTTTGAACTGGCGTGCTTGGGTTGGCAGCGCATTTCCTGACCATTCAGTTTGAGGACTAAGGTGCGCCTGATTCAGGCCATGGTTTTCTCAGGCACTTGCTATACTGTAAGAGTTGGTCAGTGACTCAGGATGACAAGAAGAATTGATTCCTTTGAAATGTGGCGTTGGACGAGAATGCTCAATATCCCACAGACTGCCAGAAGAACAGATGTTGTTGTTATGTGCTGTCGAGTCGCTTGCGACTCATAGCGACCCTATGTACAACAGCTCTAAACTCTGCTCTGTCCTGTGCCAATCACAGTCTCTGACACTCCCATCCCAATTATCCCAGTCACTGAATCAATCCACCTCCTACAGGGCCTTACCCTCCTGCGCCTGCCCTCCACCCTCCCAACCATGCTGTCCTTCTCCAAGGACCGGTCTCTCCTTAAAGCATGTCCAAAGTATGTCAGACAAAGCCTCAGAATCCTTGCCTCCAAGGAGCAGCCTGGTTTAACACTCTCCAGGATGAATCTTTTTGTTTTCTTAGCAGTCCATGGTACCCTCAACACTCTTCTCCAACACCAAAGCTCAAAAGCATCAATTCTCCTTCTATCCTCCCTGGTCATTGTCAGAGGAACAGATATGTCTTGTAAAAGGTGCAGCCAGAGTGCTCCTTGGAGGCAAAGGTGATGTAGCTTCATCTCACATACTTTGGGCAGGTTGCTTGGAGAGGGACATCCTGCTTGATAAGGTGGAGTGACATCAAAGGAGAGAAGTCACTCAGCCAGGTGGATTGACATAGTGACTGCAGCTGTGAGCTCAAGTGTCAAAGATAATGAGGATGGCACAGGATAGGACAGGGTTCCGATCTGTGGTTCACAGGGTCTTGTATGAGTTCATAGGGTTTCGTATGAGTCGTACTTGACAGCACCTAACAACAAGAACTCACCAGTAGGAAACTGGTGGTCTAGGGTTAAGAGGCTATCCTGCAATCCCAAAGGCGCATGGTTCAAATCTAACAGCTGCTCTGAGGGAGAAATATGGGCAATTTCCTCCTGTGTGATTTATTTATTGCCTCTGCAAACTGACTGGAGGGTCAACTATGGGTCCCTTCCAACTTGGTACTACACAACAACAACCACAACAAGAAGTCACCAGTGGAATGTTGAAATTATCAAGCAATACCATTAATATCCTTAATATCACATGCAAGCAAAATATTGTTTTAAGATTGTGGGGAAAATGGCTAGAACAGTAAATACATTGATGTTCAAGGTGAGTTCTTGTCTGAAGTTCAAGTTGGTTTATAAGAAGCCTTGGCATAGGGGAGCTCTGGTGGCCTAGTGGCAAGACGCTGCACTGCAATCCCAGAGAAACATGGTTCGAATCCACCAGATGCTCTGCCGGAGAAGGAGGCGCAATATCCTCCTGTACCAGTCAGATCTGATTTGACGGTACACGCACACAAAATAAAAAAAAAAAAGAAGCCTTGGCACAAGTGATATCATTGCTGATATCAGAGGAATGCTGGTTGAAAGCAGAGAATACAACTATCAATGACTAACATTGAGAAGAACGGGAATCCTAGAACAGTTAATTGTGCTCATGTGAAACCTATACCTAGACAAAGAAGCTGTCATCTGAACATAGCAAGGGAACACTGCATGCAAGGGAACAAAATCAGGAAAGGCTTGTGTCAAGTCTGTATCTTTTCTCCATGTTGTTGTTGTTATTATGTGCCGTTGAGTCGTTTTTGACTCATAGCGACCCTATGCACGACCACCCTAAACCCTGCTCTATCCTGCGCCAACCGCACTGCCTCTGACACACCCATCCCGATTACCCCAGTCACCGAATCAATCCATCTCATAGAGGGTCTTCCCCTCCTGTGCTATCCCTCCACCCTCCCAAGCATGATGTCCCTCTCCAAGGACCCGTCCCTCCTTGCAATGTGTCCAAAGTATGTCAGACGAAGCCCCAGAATCCTTGTCTCCAAGGAGTAGCTTGGTTTAATCCTCTCCAAGATGAATCTGTTTGTTTTCCTGGCAGTCCATGGTACATTCAGTACTCTTCTCCAGCACCACAGCTCAAAAGCATCCACTCTCTTTCTGTCCTCCCTAGTCATTGTCCAACTCTCTGATGCATAACAAGCGATTGCAAATACCATGGCCTGTATCAGGCGTACCTTAGTCTCCAGAGAGACACTGTTGTTCCTGAGTACTTTAGAGAGGTCCCTAACAGCAGACTTACCTATTCAATTTATATTTTGAGCAAATCTTTCTAGAAGCTGGAGACTATAAAGAAGAATGAAGCATCAGGACTGAAGGAAGATTCATCATGCAGAAGGCACAACCTTACTTGCTGTAATCAAGGAGGACCTGAAGTACTTACTGAAGAAGATCAAAGACTACAGCCTTCAATATGGATTGCATTTCAACATAAAAAACCAAAATCCTCACCACCTGATGATGATTTTCTCTTACTTGGATCCACAGTCAACACCTTTGACAGCAGTAGTCTGGAGAATCATACAGCATTGGGAAAGTCTGCCGTCAGGGACCTCTCCAAATTACTGAAGAGCAGTAATGTCAGTTTGAAGACCAAAGCGCGCCTGATTCAAGCCAAGGTCTTTCCAATTACCTGCTGTGCATTTGAGAGCCAGACAAGGAAGACTTGATGCCTTTGAGCTATGATCTTGGAGGAGGGCACTGGGCATCCTGTATGTGGCCAAAAGAGCAAACAGGTATGTCCTGGAGAAGGTGCAGCCAGAATACACCTTACAGGCAAGGACGGTGGAGCTTGTCCCACATACTAGGCGCGTGTTGCTTAGAGAGGCTGTTAGGTGGAGAAGGAAGTCATGCTTGGGAAGACAGAGGATCAGCGAGAATGGACAGCCCTCAGTCAGATAAATGGACACGATGGATCAGGTGTGTCACGGATGAATCTGGATGGCACAGGACAGGACAGGGTTCAGACTTGTCCATAGAGTCACTATGAATCATATTCAACTTGAGCGCACTGAACAACAAGACGCCCCAGAACCTTTTGAATCCCTGTTACAGATTGAATTTTGCCTCACACCTACCCACCCCACTTGTGTTGGAGCCATAGTCAATGCCCATGGAGACCGCAGTCAAGAAATCAAAAGACATGTAGTATTGGGCAGCTCTGCTGCCAAGGACCTCTTCAAAGTGCTGAAGGGCAAGGATGTCAGCTAAAGGACTAAGGTGCACCTGGCCTGAGCCTTGGTGTTTTCAATGCATGCGGTAATTGGACAATGAATAAAGAAGACCCAGAAGATATCAATGCCTTTCAGTTGTATGGGTGGAGGCTACTGAACGGACCACCAAGAGAACAGTTATGTCTTGAATGCTGTCAGGATGCTCCTTCTAAGTGAGGTGGGTGAGGTGTGAGCAACCGCCTCCCATGAGATTTACAACCTCGGAAACCCAGTGGAGGATCATCTGTGCTTCAGTCCTGACTTGAAGACAAAGAGACGTTGTTATTAGGTGCCCTCCAGTCACCTGTGACTCAGCTGCCTTGTGGACAGCAGACCTGCACTTGGCACTCTGTAGCTCCGTCCTCATGGTCTCTGTAACGCTGCAGCCCGTCATGGGAGGCACTGTGTCAACAGGCACCGTGTCAGCCCGTCTCCCAGAGGGTCTTCCTCTTGTTCACTGACCCTCCACCTTTCTCAGCAAGATGTCTCTCTCCTGGACTGGATTCTCCTGAAACTATGGAAGATTGTTGCTGTTATGTGCTGTCGAGTCACCTGTACTCATAGTGACTATATGCAAAACAGCCCTAAACCTTGTCCTGTCTTGTGCCAGTCTCACTGGCACACCCACCACCACTACTCCAGTCACTGAATCAATCCACCTTATAGACGGTCTTCCTCTCCTGTGCTGTCCCTCCACCCTATCAAGCATGACATCCCTCTCCAGGGGCTGGTCCCTCCTTGCAACATGTCCAAAATATGTCAGATCAAGCTTCAGAATCCTTGGCTCCAAGGAGCAGCCCAGTTTCACCTTCTCCAGGACAAAACTGTTTGTTTTCCTAGCAGCCCATGGTATGCAGCAGGCCGACCGCAGCAGCAGGCTAGCCGTTTAAGATCATTGACGTCATTGCACATGCGCGGTCCGCACTTGCACGCCGCCATTACAAGATGGCACTGACACCTCACTTCCTCATTGACTTACGCACAAACAACACCATTTATGGCTGCAATATTGCTATTGGTCCATTGGACCTAGTTTAGAAAGACTTCAATACCAATGAGATTCTAAGACGT